TCTATCTATCTATCTATCTATCTATCTATCTATCTATCTATCTATCTATCTATCTATCTATCTATCTATCTATCTATCTATCTATCTATCTATCTATCTATCTATCTATCTATCTATCTATCTATCTATCTATCTATCTATCTATCTATCTATCTATCTATCTATCTATCTATCTATCTATCTATCTATCTATCTATCTATCTATCTATCTATCTATCTATCTATCTATCTATCTATCTATCTATCTATCTATCTATCTATCTATCTATCTATCTATCTATCTATCTATCTATCTATCTATCTATCTATCTATCTATCTATCTATCTATCTATCTATCTATCTATCTATCTATCTATCTATCTATCTATCTATCTATCTATCTATCTATCTATCTATCTATCTATCTATCTATCTATCTATCTATCTATCTATCTATCTATCTATCTATCTATCTATCTATCTATCTATCTATCTATCTATCTATCTATCTATCTATCTATCTATCTATCTATCTATCTATCTATCTATCTATCTATCTATCTATCTATCTATCTATCTATCTATCTATCTATCTATCTATCTATCTATCTATCTATCTATCTATCTATCTATCTATCTATCTATCTATCTATCTATCTATCTATCTATCTATCTATCTATCTATCTATCTATCTATCTATCTATCTATCTATCTATCTATCTATCTATCTATCTATCTATCTATCTATCTATCTATCTATCTATCTATCTATCTATCTATCTATCTATCTATCTATCTATCTATCTATCTATCTATCAAATAACCACATTCAACTCTCCTTGTTGGTGTATATGAGTCATACCTGTTGAAATCAGAGAACATGGCAAGCGTGTCTCGCTGTCTTTTGATCATAAGTTTTTGCGTTCTATCCCATGTGTTGCGTTTTATGTTATGGTGAACAATAAATATATTAGGCATCGCTTTAGTCCTAGGTGAGTTGTAGGGGGAAATCAATCGACGAGGTTGTGAATTTACAGTGATTAAAACGGTTAATACATGTGTTTTGCATTCATTCTCAGCCATCACATTCTTCGACGACGGGGAATGTTAGCTGACTGACATAGGATGGAGTCAGTTGGAAAAGAGCTAGTGATGTTGGTATTTAAACCACAACATGGCTTCATCAGCTAATGACATCCATAGCAGTTAATTCATTAAGCCAGTCGCATAGGAAGGTGTAGACTTTTTGACTTCTTGGGTCCTCATAGATGTTAGAAATCACTACCTGGAGACAATCGGTGATACAGCTCAAAGTCGTTCTGAATAGCTGGCGCAGATGTATTTACTCTTTGTGATTTATAATATTCAATAAAACTGTACTGGTCTTCTGTATTACTGTTCTTTTTCCTTCAACTACACTTCTGTTTATTATCTCTCTCTCTTTTGAATTTCTTCTTATCTAATCTATTTGGTTGCTCTGGCAACTCGAACTGCTGCACTTCTGTACAAACTCCTATGTTGAAATTAACCAGTTAGCCATTTAAAACCAGTACTTTTAATAAAGTATGACATGATCTATAATGAGGCATTTATGCCAGTGGATTAGTATGCTTTAATCGGTTATTAAATCCGACCTCTTTTACCTACCTAGGAAGCATCGTTTCAACTACACGCGAACCTGACGAGGATATCAAAGCAAGAATCGGAAAAGCAACACAGGCTTTCATTTCTCTTTAGTCTGTGTGGAGGTCAATAGCACTCACAACTCAGCAGGAAAAATAAGATCCATATTTTCAACTCCAATGTGAAGTCAATGCTACTATACAGATCAGAGACTTGGCCAGCGCGTCATAAAGAGCACCTCAAACAAACTACAAACCTTCGTCAACAGCTGTCTTCGCTCAATACTACTCAAAATCAGACGGCTGGGCAGAAAAGATTAGCAACAGAGATCTCTGGCAATGAGCGAACCAACCAGGAACCAATTGTGAAACAAAGAGGCAGGAAGAAATGGAGGTAGGTGGACTGACCATACTCTGAGGAAACAGACCATCATGTGACATCACTATACAAGCCATTACCCGAGTGGAACCTGAAAGAGAAGGAAGCGGCGAGTTGGTCGTCAGTGCAAGGGTGACTTGGAGAAGGTCATGTGAAGAAGAAATGAACGCATGTGGGCAGACTTGGAGCCAGGTGAAAACTCTAGCAGAGAACCGAACGCAATGGAGGCGTGAGCGGCTGAAGCCCTATTTTCCTCTAGGAATTAAAGGATATAATAATAATAAATCCGACTGCGTAACAGATTTGTTGCTTTAAGAAGAATCCTATTAGAGATAGGGATTAGCATCCTACATGTTCTGACTGTACCACACTAATCCAGTGTATGCGTGAAACCTATTCTGTACATATTTCGTTTAGTGATAAAATACTCGCCAGGCGTGCACTTGACGAGGATTCGATTCTCACTCGATGCACTTTCTAAATCTCATTTAACCGACAGCCAACATGGAAAAGAGTGGAAGTTCAGGAGCAAAACTAGTAACCCCACCCCATAAAAAACAATACCACAGATGCCAAGCCTTGTGTTCCGCTCAAAAAATAAGACTTACTTCTCAGTGTCTAGTAATGATGTTATATAATTTCTAATAACCGGTAATTTTAGTCGAAACTTCAACATTATTATGATTGACTACAGCAAAAAGTAACAAATCAGACTATCCGGTTTAAAGAAACTGATGAATAGGTTTGAATGTTTTCATCAGGAGCACCGCTATTGTAGCATGGGCTGCTGAAAAGATTTATCAACAGTCTATAGATGTAGATGTATTGGAAGTAGCCAAAATTGAAAACAACATTTTAAGTCAGTGGTTACAGAAATAGAAGCGTTTTTTTATTTCTCCAATCTGAATCTAGCTTACACTGTGGTCAAGAAATAAACCTAAGGTATGACCTTCAGAAAATCAGCAACCAATCAGAGCACTTTTAACCTTTGAGAAAGTCAAACTACCAATCAGAACAGTTTGCTAACAGATGACCTTATTAGGCGGATAAAATGTATAATTTATCCTCCTAAGACAAATAATTAAGTGTGCGGCATTTTATTCTTAAGTCAGAAAAAACAGGAAACTCATTAAAGATATCTCTTCGACGACTTCATCCTCAGAAGTGGTTGTACAAACCCATTTTTTAGATAAGTTCATATAGTTACAATTATTATTTAACTGAACTTTGTGACGAAGTAAGATTATATGACATGATAGTTTTTAACTTTGTATGAAAGTTTGAAGGTGTGAACATAGATCGCCAGGGACGTAAAAACAAAATTACATAGGATTGAAAAAACGGTTGCGTAATATATGTGTTAAATCCTACGCTGAAAATGTTATTTCCAAGGAGGACAAAAGCTTTGCAGTGAAGTCGATCACTTTAGAGAATACAACTAATTCGATATCATCAACCTGAGGTATTCATTATGTTAAATAGCTGTCAACGAACGTAAGTATGAACGGGATGTGCATAGAAAGAAAAACTGAAATGATAGATTGTATAAATGCAGATGAAAAAAGTGACAGCTAAGCAAGCAAACAGAACTACATCCATGGTAATTGTAACAGTTGGACTAGTTTCTTCTGAAGACATAGCTACGGCTTCTCGACGCATATGATGAGGGCTTCTGTAGTACACAAAAGTGTCAAACATACCGCTTTTGATAGATTTTAGTTCAAGTGTTGTTTTGTAGGGATTTGATTGGTTTCAGGATTTTCATCATGAACTGACATTAGTTAGAGAACCATTGGAAAACCTGGAAGTACTGGACAGCTGTTTCTTCCTAGTTTGGGACTCTTCAGGTAGGCAGTTACCTGGGTTCCAGGAAGGAAGTCGTGACCAGTATGGTGCAGCTGGTCGGGTGTGAGGACAAATACTCTCCACCGAAGACATTGGCTAGTGATCGCGCTATGTCGTGAATTGGCAGAAGTTAGAATTCAAGGACTGGCCATTGGATCGGGTCCCAGTGGCTTAATGGTATACGAGCTCGCCTTATAACCGGAAGGTCCTGGGTTCGAACGATGGCGGTGAGTGCGTACTGCTGAAGAGTCCCAAACTAGGAGGGAGGAAACAGCTGTCCAGTACTCCCTGACTGGTTTTCCAATGGTTCTCTAACTAATGTCAGTTCATGATGAAAATCCTGAAAGATTTTAGTTCATTTTGTAAATGACTTTGAATGATGCGCCAGTTGTAACGTTGTAAAAAGTGTGCTGACGAGGTGTTCAGTTATATGACTTCTGATTGAACCACTGCCACCTCTTTGCCACCAGACTAGGTAGTGTTCTCCAAAATGTTTTTGCTTCTGAAGGTAGGCGGATTTGCAACAAGCTACGAAGATGCGGAGAAATTGACATAAATACCTCTAAGTCGCCCTTCAAATTGCTTGAACGTAGTGGGTGGTTAGAGAATATCACTCATAAAGTTTCTTTAGGAAACTAGAAACTCTGCCGCTAAGTATCACCTGAATTTCAGGTTCACTGAACTACATTTTTCTCTTCTAGGCCCTGGTTTCCTGTTCTCTTCAACTAACCAGGCTGGATATCCATTTTCGACCAAGATTCTTTTTCGGAAGCAAGACCTTCTATTCTAAGCAGTAAATGATGCCAGTTTGGACTAGCTGTGTCAATCCATGACACGTGCTTCATCCATTTTTGAAATTTGCCTGAATCCTCAACGCGTGGAGATGTTACCACTGGTATTCGAACCCTTAACCCACTGCTTAAAATGCTTTAGCGTTAGAAACAAAAGGCTGTTGGAACCATGAATTTATTATATTGGGCCAAAATGCCTAGTCTTTGTTAATATGTCAGTTTCTAGCATGAAAACTAGAGGTGATGTCTACGGATTAACATGACGACGTAATTTTTGGCTACACGATTACTAACAATGGAATCCAGCAAGCTGAATGAAATCTTCAAGTATACTTTCCTTAAAAAAAGTTCCATTTCTACTTTTATTTCCTTCACTTTTTAGAGGATGACGTAACTCTTTTGGAAAATATTGAAGAAATCTCTGGGTACTTAGTTATTTATGGAGTTGGTCGGAAAGAATTACGTCTACCACATTTAAGACTAATTCGTGGTCTTGACTATGTACCATTTAAGTCACGAAAAGTCGCATTACTTGTTGTAAGTAATTATAAAAGATCAAATGAACACTGGTCAGAATCAAGTGAATCGGATTCATCTAAAGTAACTATGGAAACAATTACACAATCATCAGATGAAAGCATAAAGGCAGAACAAGAAAGTCTTCAACATTTACAAATACTAGAAATGACATCATTAATATGTAAGTTGATATTGGTAAGTATTAGTATTATTATTAATATTTAAAACAATTCACATATCCAATACAGATTTCGTCATGAGCTGACATAATTCAATGGGGTGTGTGTGTGGGGGAAATCATTGAAAATTAAGGATAACTGGATAGCTATTTTTATTCTAGCTGAGGACACTACAACACTGAGCATGAAACCCTCCTTAATCCATCCAAGAATCAAACTTAGGATCTTCAGGTGAAAGAGGTGATCTTGTCGATCCTTTCCTCACTAGGTTTGAAGACAGTGTTTCAATTCAGTTCAAGATATTCATGAAAAATCCCTATTCGAACATTAATAGACAGAAGACCAGTAGTTCAACGAAGAGTCTCTTTTCGGCGAATTCATTTTGAAAACAATAGATACTGAACAAAGAGTAATCTTTTCGATAACCCTTACTTCATCAGGCTCTACAGTTATATATACATTATACTGAATGAATGAATTAGTGTTATGAACAACATTAATGTTGCTGTTTAAATAACATTGAATCAATAATATTGATAGATTACAGCTCAATAGCATCAACATAAAATAAGCTGAATGTCAGAAAAATTAGGGAAATAATAATACAAATTCATGAATTTGTAATTTTCACTAAAGGTAGGCCAGGGCAGTAGTTGTGACTGGCTGTACTTGCTTCTTTTGAACAGAGAGCGCTGGTTGTTTGAGGCGAATCGCAATAGCCTCTGCTGTTTGGAGCCTGCGTTGCTTCGATGTTTTTGGTAATTTATTTGGCACCCGGTATAATATACAGAGGAATTCATCTACGCTGGCTTTTTGGCCTGTTAGCACCAGATGGTCCAATATCGAGCTGTTAATAGTTTTCACTACACCTTTACTTAGCCATGCTGGGAGATGTTCTCGAACACGAAAAATCAAGTTCCTAGAGAAACGGCCAATATAACTGGCTCCACAAGCGCAGTTGAATTGTTAGATACAATTAGAGGTGTCTAGTCTAGGTATTTCATCTTTCAGTCGAGGAATCACCAAAGGTCGTGTAGAGAATAATCCGTGTAGTTCGCCAGCAGTAAAAGTTCTTTGAACTGATTTTCTTAATTTCCTCGTAATTATTTCACTTGGTATATCGATAGCCCTTGAATTGTAGTCGTATATAAAGAGGCTTCTTTTTTACAGATAGTGAGTAGTCCTTTTCCGCTTTCTTTGTCATGTGTTTCTTGATAAATTTTTCGAGATAGCCATTTTCAATCAAAGTATCATATACAATGCTCAGTTCATCTTCAATTACTTCTTCTGAGCACATAGCCCTAACTCTGTGGTTGAGGGTCTTCACTAAATTTCTTTTGTACTTGATAGGAACGAAGCTGTGAAAATGTGTATATTGTCCTGTCCTGTCCATGTACTTTTTCTACGCAAATTTCTTTTTATGCTATCATCTGGTTTTCTTGTAAGTAGGACATCCAGGAAGGCAGTTCGGTTTTGGGATTCCTCTTCGCACGTGAATTTCAGAGCAGGATGTACTTCATTGAATTCAGTTATTATTGTGTTCCTATCCGAATTATTACCACAAAGAATGAAGGTATCATCCATATATCGGCGATAAAATGAGAGCTTATTGATAAGGTTGTTCAGTTGTTCATAGCTGCACAATCGCAAATATATATATATATATAAGAAAAGGTGTTCAGCAAAGAGTTACTTTTTTCGGCGATATCATTCTCAAGCTGTACAAATCGCAAATTTATAGTAATTTGTCTTGGCAACAAAAGGAATATTTCCAAAGATGTGTTAATGCAATTGTTAGTTTTTGACAAACAAATTACGTAATTTAGAAGGCGTTAATCGGTTAGAAACTAAAATAAAGTTACAAAAGTAGGTTGGGTGACGTAATCTAATTGATAGGGTTCAATGAAAAAATGAATGAGAGTTAAGTTAATAAGCTGAGTAGAATTCACTTAAAAATAAACGAAAATCGAGTTAGCAACAGTCGTCATGAGCGTAGAGATTTAATAGAGGGTGGGGGTAGAAAATAATGCAATTAAGAAATAGACAAACAAAGAAGAAAGAGGTAAGACAAAATTACGTATTTGGTGTTAAGATAGATCAGGACCATTGTAGATTTAGTGACTGAACAAACTTCTTTTGTATGCAGAGTTCAGGATTCAATATGTGAATTGCCATTGCTTCTGCAGTTTGAAGAAGTTTAATTCGTACTCTTTTGGCAAGATTCCCACGTATTGTGTAGATAACTGAGAAGTTGTTTTGTGGGTTTGCTTGGTGTCCGGATTCGATCAAGTGTTCTAGGATAGAGCTGTGGCGGGGGGATCTTCTTTCTCCTTTATAAAACCATGAAGGTAAGTGTTCGCTGATTCGTTTGGATAGCAAACGCTGGGTACGGCCGACATACCTAGCTCCACATGAGCAGGTGAATTGGTAGATGCACATTGATGAGGCCCCCAGTGGAAGCTTATCCTTCACGTTCGTGCGAATCATTGGTTTCGTAGAGAAAGTTAGTCTGAGTTCCGCTGCGAAGAAGGTTTTCTTCAGTGAACGGCACAGGCGGTTTCTCAGTATTTCTGCTGAAGAATCTCCGTTGAATTGTAGATTCAAATAGAGAAGTTTCTTGGGAGCAGTAAGCATGGATGGTTTTTGTGTTTTGGGCTTCATAGCTTTTGTGATGAAACGTTCCGGGTAACCGTTTTCAAGGGGGATTCTTTTCAGGGTCTTCAGCTCTTCTTCTATAGTTTCCGGACTGCAAATGTTGTGGATTCTGTGAGTCAGTGAGCGGATCAGATTTCGTTTTGTATATATAGGCACCCAACTGTGAAAGCTGATGAGTTGTCCATTCCATGTCGGTTTTCTGTGAATGGATCTTTTGAGTGTCCCATCTTGTTCGCGTCTTGCTAGTTGCACGTCCAGAAAAGATATTGTTGCGTTGGACTCCTTCTCTAGTGTGAACTGGATTGCTGGATGGCAACTGTTGAAGAAGTCCAATATGTTCTCCAAATTTTCCTCATTATTGGCGATAATAAAAGTATCGTCCACGTATCTCTTGTAGAATCCGAAGTTATCTATTATCTTCTTTAGGTGTGTATTTTCTAGTTTTGACATGAAAATATCTGCAAGCAGCGGGCCGAGTGGTGAGCCCATAGCTATACCATCTTTTTGTCTATATATTTCATTATTGAAAGTGAATTGGACGTTTAGAGTACATCTTAATAGGAGTTCCTTCAAATAGTCAGTGGGTATACCAATGTTCATCTCCTTTGAATCAATATATTCACATATATAGCATATTGTTTCGGTTAGTGGGACGTTTGTAAACAGTGATACCACATCTAGTGAGAACATGGTTTGATTGGAAACGCTGACGTTTTCAATGGAATTGACAAAATCGAAGGAGTCTCGAAGTGAGTGGCGGGAGATTTGCTTTCTGACTGGTTCTAGTATGTTCACTAGCCATTGTGCGGTACAATATATATTATGGTTGTTTTGTATGTGTGTGTACATTACATGCGTCAGACAAAAATACAATAAGTAAGTTCAGACTAATTAGGTGTTGATATAAGAGGGTAGTAACAAAAGTGATAAGTTGTCATAAACGATTGTTAAAGAAGAGTCGCTCAATAACATGAAGATTTCGATGAAAGAATTGTGCTCAGGGTGTACATGGGAATAAAATAACATACGGAATTAGGTAAGAGTTTTAAGTGGATAGAAAAAAATAAGCATACAAGCAAAAGTTAAGTCAAATCAACAGAGTTACCTACCATGATAGTAGAAGTGGTTGAATCATTTTCGTTTATATGCATAGTTCTGGTTCTTCTTACTAATAATGCCTAAGGCTTCTGCAATGCCAAGAAGACGGAAACATATTGTCTTTGACAGGTTTTTCTTTACTTTGTAGGTTACTTTGAGGCAGGAGGTGTTTGTTGAGATTCAGTGACCAGTGTTGATGAGATTTTCGATTATTTCACTCCTTTTACGGCCACTACTTCCCTTTTGCAGCCACGCTGGATGGTGTTCTTTGATTCTTTTTGAGAGGATACGCGTCAAACGACTTTTGCTACTACCCTCTTATATCAACATCTAATTCATCTGAACTTACCAATTGTATTTTTCAAGTATTGGTTTTTGTAGGGATTTTTGTTTGATTGCATGGAGGATTTCATCATGAGCTGGCATCAGTCAGAGAACCACAGGAAAACCTGGGAGTACTGGACAGCTGTTTCGTCCTAGTTTGGGACTCTTCAGCAGTAAGCGCCCACAGGGTTTCGAACCCAGGACCTTCTGGTTACAAGGCGAGCTCATAGGCTCAATGGTCTACGAGCTCGCCTTGTAACCAGAAGGTCCTGGGTTCGAAACCCTGTGGGCGCGTATTGCTGAAGAGTCCCAAACTAGGACGGAGGAAACAGCTGTCCAGTACTCCCAGGTTTTCCTGTGGTTCTCTAACTGATGTCAGCTCATGATGAAATCCTCCATGCAATTGTATTTTTTGTTTGACAGATTAAATGTACAGACAGATATATAAAACAACCATATATATATTTGCGATTGTACAGCTATGAAAATGAATTCGCCGAAAAGTTCACGATATAACGCTGATTCAATTATTATTATTATTATTAGGCAACCACTTCTTATCTTGCATGATTGACTTTATGATTCAGGATTTCTAATTTATCATTTTTCTAACTGAATGAATTTCATTTCGATTTGCGCGGAAAATATTTAACCTCTAGGATATACGTTCAGTGTCTGGTCAGTTTTAGCGGTTTGGAAACACAGAAGTGATTAACTGTCAAGTTCTGTATGAAGCTGGATTTCACTTCTCTGTTTCACTCTATGGAAATAATATTCATAATAGTGGAAAAAGGATAATCGTTTAGATAACTTTATTAGGTTCCACAGTTATATATTATATCCTTAATGATTAAAGAATTTTCATACATTTATTCCCTCTGATGAATTTGAATAAGGCAAAAACAACAGTGTGTTGTTTATGCAG